TAACACAAATGAACATGTTTCAAACTGGTTTTTAAGTTTTGTGTTGTAAAAATATGGCTAAGTTGCCATCCGTATTAAAAAAGCTGTATTTCGTGTCCATTCGATTTAAATTCTGCTACATTGCGATTAAGTGCTGTTGAAAATGAATGATACTAATAATAAGGTACATAGTGTAACTTTTAAAACTGGATGACAAATATTTTTAGCCTCTCACGCTGACATTTCGGGGAAGAGACATGTTTCAAAGCCCTAATGCATCTGCTAGGAAGACCACAGTATTTTATACTTCTTAATAATTTTCCTTGGTCTCCCTTGACAATAATTCTTTTAAAACAGTTGAGTTTGTTATACAGGACAGAGATGTCATCATTTAGAACAGATCTCTGGCCAACTGTCTGCCATCATTGAGAAAAAAGATGAACTCATTTCAAGACTGCAACAACCATTTGTTGGAGAATTCTTAGAGATCGATGCAGCCCATCACAAGTAAGCCGACTAAAAACTTGTTACAATGAATTTTATTAATTGATTTCAGAAATGGACAATTAATGGGCATGTATATAATAATCCATGTGGCGCACTGTCAAGTTTAGAGGGGTCACCACATTCAATATTGAATTTTCCACTGCATGTTGAGTAGCCTATTAGCAAAGATCCCCAGGGTGCTCCCAAGCTACACATTGAGCTATAGTATTTTTTTCACCCAGGGGGGCTACTCGTGTCATTTTTTGGCTGGGTAGGTGCCGCTGTTCTCTCAGAACCCCTAGCCCATTGTAGTCTATTGTGTGGCCAATTATAGACCCCACCTTAGTCACTTTTGGATAAATGTAATATACTTAGCCACTTTCTGTTTGTCCATCTATCTTATAAAGCCTTGTCACCCATTTTTTCAAATTCCTGGACACAAAAAAATTCTCCACCCCCAAATCCCAAAAATGTGTTTGTGACTTCATTCTAGTAACTCTTATGAAATTGTAACCCCATTATAGTCAATTCAGTCGTAAAATTACGACCCCATATAGAGGCACATCCCCATTAGCTAGGAAGTACCCTCCCCGAGGAAATCAATTTGCAGTAACGATCGCTGGATGAGATAATCAATCTTTTGGCTCTTTTACGTCGTATTTGTTAAGATTTATTTTAGCAGCTCTCATTTGATTGACGTCTTCCCAAGTTGACACGATGTTTTTCTTGAAGAAATTAGGCTCTTTTATTCCTTCCCTTAAAAAAGAAGAAAAAGAATCGTGTTGTCCCCATTAAAGTGCTTGCCACGCCATCTATTGTTACATAATTGCGTTCCAAGGGCGCAGTTGTAATCACTTCTCTTGTCGACCCTTCTTCTGTTTTCAACCACACTTTAGACGCCTCCACAAAATTCTTGTCGGGGGCTTTCTCTCGACCAGGAACTTGTATATATTTCACCCTCACCCTTTCACCCTGTTAGAGTATAGACTCATTCGTAGTTCGTAATTTACTATAAAAGTAATACTCTTTTTTTTCCTCGCTAGGAACACAGCAGAGATTTTGCCCATGATCTCATCAAACTTGGCTAGTTTCCCTGTGCTGCTAGAAAATATAACGTGGATAAGAAACTTCTCACTGGCAGATGGCCAGTTGGTAGGTCAATCACACATGTCTCACAGAGTGGGTTTGAAAAACTTAAGACAGTTAGACACTTATTTCTTTATTTGTTACCTTTGTTTCCTATCCCATCTCTCAAATATCCTTTATGAACGGGTTTCCGCAAAGCGGGGTTCCACCGTACGACTGTAAACTTTTTCGCGCCATATTTTTTTCTTTTCAAGTTAGTCAGGACGTAACTAATCGATAGAAATCGATCATCGAAAATGTAATCGATTAATCGATAATACTCGATAGTACTCGATATTTGTCGATTGATTAGTCAATTTAATCGATTGAAATCGATAATCACAAATTTTTTGTCGCATCTATGGAAATCGAAAATCTGAAACGTGATCTGATCTTATCACAACACTGCGTAACACTTACCTTCAAGCTTACCTTCGAATCCGCTTTGTTGATAAAGATGATGTTACTTCTTTCTCCAATGGTAGCTACTTTTCTTATTTATTTTTTGTACCAGGATCACTGCTGTAAATTTGTACTCTAGAATCGTCAGAATCGTGGTAAATAGCCGGAGTCACTAATGTAGAAATTGGCAAACTGTCGTCCGTTTTCCGAGAATTGAGAAGGGTATTGTTCGAGCGCTTATTGGGAAACACGCATGGTGGCTTACGGAGCGCGGAGAATCTTCGTCCATTTTCATTTCGATCATTGTCGAACAAATCGATAAAATCGATAGCTAATTACAGAAATCGATCAAAATCGAAAATCACAAAGACGCGAGTGATCGATTTCTATCGATTTCCGATATTAATCGATTGATTAGTATGGATTACGATCGATTACGTTCGATTTCTATCGAGTATCGAAAATATCGATTAGTTACGCCCTGAGTTAGTTCGACGTTCGATCTCGCAGTCGAACTCAACGGGTCGACCTAAACGGCAATTTGGTTCGTCTTACGAAAAGTTCGACTTTTGGCATTGGCTTTAGTTTCTCTTAAAAGCTATACCCCCTTCATATGAGGCAATTTTTTCAGTCTTCTCTGCATCAAAACTTGTTTTCTTTTCTGTTTGTAGCTGGGAGTCCTGTCCTCTATCGAGTCATCATTTGCTGAGATTCAGAGCTTCTATCAAGCATTGTGTCAGAGTCGAAAGCTCATGGCGCAACTTGGGGAGGAACATGGAAAACAGATGAATTCACTGGAAACTATTTATTCATAATTGTTTGTTCACAATTCTAAGCATAGAAATCATTGTTTAAAAGCAGACACAACACGACGGACACTTGTATTACTCTTTTTGTGCTTTTAGAAATAGTAAATAAATTAGACAAGTATTTTGTCTGGTTCGCTGTTTTTATTTCGGATTACTTAAATGTTGAGTTGGCCTTCCTTGGCCAAATTCGGACATAATTTTGAGGTCTTTTTTGGCCCTTCAAGCACTTATAACTCATCCTCTTCAGTCCTCTACGTTCCTGATGGAACATAGGTCCTCCACTAATTCTTGCCGCATGGCTCTACTTTGAGAAGAAACTCTTGCCTCACAACAATTAAGTCCTTTGACCGACCTTGTGTTTAGCCTTTCAAGCACTTATAACTTATCATCTTCAGTCCTCTTCGTTTCTGATGAACATAGGTCTTCCACTATAATTCTTGCCGCCTGGCTTTATTTTAAGCAGTGACTCTGGCCTCACACTAATAAAGTCCTTTGATCGACCTTGTGTTTAGTCCTTCTAGCACTTTTAACTCATCGTCATTTGTCCTCTTCGTAGCCTGAGTATCAGACCTTCCTAAGGGGCTAGGGGAGAGGAGATTTTAGATGGGGGAGGCGGAAGGGGGAGATGGAGCATAGGTCCTCCAATCATTCTTTCCATCTGACTCGATTTTGAGCAGTGACTCTTGCCTCACACCACGTTAAGTCCTTCTCCTAAAGTTCTAACATTCTTGTGCGCCTCCAAGTTTGTCGAGGTCTCCCTCCCTTGCATCCTTGCTGCACAGAGCAGCAAGGGTGGCGCAGTGGTGGAGCACTCGCCTCCCACCAACGTGGCCTGGGTTCAAATCATGACGTCGACCCCATATGTGGGTTGAGTTTGTTGTTGGTTCTCTCCTTTGCTCCAAGAAATTTTTTCTCTGGTTTCTCCGGTTTTTCCCTCTCCTCAAAAAATATTTCCAAATTCCAATTCGATCAGGAATTAGCTGGACGACTTAGAACCACTAAGTGAATTTGCTTCCTCTAAAACGTTATTTATTTGTTTATTTATTTATTTATTTACTATATTATCAACTAATACTAAATCTCTCTGCGAAATCAATGTTTTAAACATTAAAATCATACCAGAAATCTGACTTGAGAACACCCGAATTCTAGGTACTTCATTGACTTCTCCTTACAGTTTCAGTAAAAAATGTCGTGACTACCTTGTTAACAGGCTTCCGTGAGTGTGTATTGAAGTGGAGGGGAAGGACGCGCTAGTCTGCCTTTTCGCTCTCCTCCGACTTTTTCAGGCCTTCTCTTCACCAAATACGAAATGGCTAGTCGTCACAGACGAGGGTCATCTTAATCGTGATCTTAGAGTAGCCACAAGGTTTATCAAAAAACCCACCTGAAATATCTTTCAGTAGGTATGCGTGGCGGCTGGGCTAAGAGAAATAAGGGCGCGGGGTAAGGATAGGAGGATAAAAATTGTTGGGATTTTATCTTTCCTTTTATTCTCTTGTCTTCTTTTCCCCGGCGTTTGTTTTCTTTTCTCAAGTAAAAGGCATTTTACATGTCTGATTTAAGAATTCGTCAAAACGTCCGTGCACAACTGCTAAAAGGTTAGTACCAGTCCAGATGACTATTGGAACTGCATTTACAATTGCCACCAAAGTATGTCTTTTCCACCGTTTTTGCCAGACAGCCATAACGGCTATATTCTGATAACGAGTCTCAATCGCCAGAGAGACACTGGTAAAAAACCACTCTATTACAAGCTGAACCGAAGTATGAATGGCAAATCGTGGTAGCAAAGTTAACAGAGGCTTGTCTGTTAAGTAAACATATTGATACAGGTACAAGAATCCATTCACAGACACTATGGCAGCTGATTCAAACAACATACTCATGATTGTAATATCAGCCATGAGTCTCTCACGACGAGGAGTACGAAAACTTCCCCAAGGAGCGGAACTTCTTCTTACTACTAGTTGATGACAAATGTGATCAATAAAAACCATTGTACTTCGCTCTATGACTTCTGCAGCTCCATGAATTACTCCAAGAAGAGCGATGGTCTGTAATCTGACGAGATCCGCTTGTAAAATTCTGAAAATAACAGCTGCCCCACAATACAAGGGTACCAACAAGACAAAAGAATGTCCCGGATGCGTGATGTTGTATAACCGCTGAACGCTTATTCGCGAGATTACTTTCAGG